CAACCAAACCCTTTTTCTTATAAAAAAAGAGATTGGTTAGAGGTAGCACTTAGGAACCTCAGTCCTGTACCAGGACCTCATTGTGCTGGGCACTATACAAAAGGACAACAGACAAAGAAACACACAACTAGACAGGTACGTATGTAGTGGAGGGAAGGGGTGGGGGGCCATGCCAGACCAGTGTGGATTCAACATGGCCAATGGGAGGGAGCCCACTCATAAGCAGAGTTACCCCTATGCTTTGCAGGCTGGGTAGGGGCCTTTGGCTGGGCAGCTGTGGGGAACTTTCATGGATGGGGACAGTACCACAAAACGATGCTTTGGGCTAGTGAGAAAAAAAAAGTGATAAGAAAGGTAACTGGTTACAATTCATAGAGTTTAAGGCCAGAAGGGCCCAGCCGACTAACTAGGGCTAGGCCAGTGATTCTCAGACGAGGCTCAGAAGCTGCAAATGGCTCTTTAATGCAGCTCTTTGCAGCACATGTTTAACACACCATGCAATTTAACAACCAATCAGAATGCTTTTATTATGTTATTCCCAATTGGAGAATACCAGGTCAGCCATTTTGCGGTGAGGATTATACACAAGTAGCAAAACAAAAGCTACTGAATTCTAACAAGAGAGGGTCATCATGACGTACACGCAACGTGCCCCAGGTGCATTCACACGACTTTGCTCTTTTGGGTAACCTTGATCATTAATCTGGCTCCCGACTCACTAGGTCAGAGTATCCAGCCCAACTTCCCGCATAGCACAGGCCAGAGAACATCAGACCATTTCCCCTGCATTGAGCCCAACACCACTTGGCCAAAGCACCTGCCAGAAAGGCAGCCATATGGGATTTAAAGACACTAAGAGACGGTGAATCCACCACGTCTGCTGAAAGTTTGTCCCAGCTAGTCTGTCACACTCCCTCTTGGTACCCAGCCTAGACCAGGGATGCTAACGATCCAACCAGCAGACCATAATCATTGATGAAACCTGCTCACATGCCAGCTGAGGCACATTGCATGTATGCCATGATGACCCTTTCTAGTTAGAAATGAGGCACATGTTTTTACAGGTGTGTGACTGGTTTTTAACTTCCAGACATTAGTCCTCTCTCCACTAGGTGACAAAGCCCTTGAGGGTACTTAAGTGACCAAGACCCTTTGGAGCTGTCGAGACACATTGTGCTCATTAAGTCTCTCACCATCCCCTCATCCCCTAATCACTTTAAGGAGACACATTGTGCTCATTAAGTCTCTCACCATCAGGCATTTCCTCATCCCCTAATCACTTTCTCTGATTAGTTCTCTGGCTCTTCTCTGCAGCCTTCCCACTTTTTCAGTGTCCTTTGGAAAATGTGACCCTCAGAACAGGATGCAGGGTTGCAGTATCGCTCCCACAGAAATAAAATCCCCTCCCTGCTCCTACTCCATGCACCTGCTTACCCAGCTAAGGATCAATCTGGGAGCTTATGCTGAGCTGCTTGTCCACTGTGAACCCTAGATCCTGCTCAGGGTCACTGCAGTCCAGGAGGTAGTCCTCAATCCATCAGCACAGCCTGCATTTCTTGTTCCTGGATGTATAACTTTGCATTTGTCTGTATTACAATGCACTGTGCTGGAACAGGCCTGGCTCCCTCAGGGATACAGATTGCTCTGTAGGACTGACTTGTCCTCAGCACTACCAGCCAATCCACTAGTCCTTCCTCATCCTCTGTAGATGGAGGGAAGATGGACTGTTATGACTGGGTCTATCTAGCACCAGCAACAATAAAAAGAGCTGGAGCTTTATAAAGAGGCAACCAAGAAATATGGCCCAGGAACAAAGGAATTTGGCTCTAAGCACGATGCAAGTAGCAACATGCTGCTCCATCTTCTGTCCCTGCTACTGCTCTTCCCTCCTGGTTGAGCAGGTAGAGGCTAGGGAGCCCACAAGTGGGTGGTTCCATCCACTTGTTGATATGTAGCATGCATCTATATTAGGGCTGTAAATGAGTAACCGGTTAACTGTTAACTTTTACTAGGTGAGGCTTACCCGGTAACTGGCTCCCCCAGAGCAGTCCCACATAGCTGGGGCTGAGAGCTGATTAACTGTATCCTTAATCTGTATCTAGGACACCACTTTATACAGCCACAACTTTTATGGAATGTCTCTCCACGTGTTCCACTAATTCAGGGAAGTTTAGCATCAAAACTGACTGTTCACTCAGTAGTCAACTTCGCAAGCTGGTGGAGCAGGGAATCCTGAACTTTAAGGCAAAAAGGAACGGTGCTTATCACCTCTAACCTCCTATAAAACACAGGCCTGAGAATTTTCCCCAGCTATTTCTGCACCCTCTGGTTGACCTGTAGCATGTCCTAGAGGAAGATATCCAATCTTGCTTTAAAGACTTCTGGGGCACAAATTTCACCCTGTGCCTGCAATAGGTCATCCAATGGTTAATCCTCCTTCCTGTTAAAGAAGTGCACCTTGCTTCTAGTCTAAGTTGTCCAGTTTCAGGTCCCAGTTGCTGAGTCTTGTTCTACCTTTGTCTGCTGGATTAAAATCTCTGCTCTCAGCAATCTCCTCCCACATAGATACTTGGGGACCATGACCAAGTCACTTATCCACCTTCTCTTGCGGAAGCAAAATAGAAGGAGTTTTACAGCCCTCAGATCACTTTAGTGGCTCTTCTCCGAGTTCTCGCCAATCACTAATACACTTTGAAAGGTTAGATTGTGTACCCAGTAATAGTCTGACACAACAGACAGAGGTAATAGCACCTCTCTACTCCTGCTTGCTTATTCTTCTGCTTAAGATGTTCAAGGATTGCAATAGCCCTCTTAGCTACATCATCATACTGGGAGCTCACATCCCTTAAGTCCTTTTCAGTGGCACTGTGTTCCAGGAGTCCAGACTC